TTTCAAAGGGGCAGAGGAACTAGAGACCAAATTACTAACATGCACTGGATTATGGAGAAAGCCAGAGAGTTCCAGAAAAAACATCTACTTCTGCTTCATTGACTATGCAAAAACCTTTGACTGTGTCGACCACAGCAAACTATGGCAAGTCCTTAAAGAAATGGGAGTGCCTGACCACCTTATCTGTCTCCTGAGAAATCTTTATGTGGAACAGGAAGCAACAGAACTGGATATGGAACAAATGATTGGATCAAAATTGGGAAAGGACTATGACAAGGCTTTATATTGTCCCCCTGCTTATTTAACTTATATGCAGAATACATCATGTGAAAGGCAGGACTGGAAGAATCCCAGGCTGGAATTAAGATTGCCGGAAGAAATATCAACAACCTCAGATATGCAGATGATACCAATCTCATGGCAGAAAGTGAGGAGGAATTAAAGAATCTCTTAATGAAGGTGAAAGAGGAGAGTGCAAAAATGGTCAACATTAAAAAAACAAAGATAATGGCCACTGGTCCCATCACCTCCTGGCAAATAGAAGGGGAAGAGATGGAGGCAGTGACAGATTTTACTTTCTTGGGCTCCATGATCACTGCAGATGGTGACAGCAGCTACGAAATTAAAAGACACCTGCTTCTTGGGAGGAAAGCGATGGCAAACCTAGACAACATCTTAAAAAACAGAGACATCACCTTGCCGATAAAGGTCCACATAGTCAAAGCTATGGTTTTTCCAGTAGCGATCTATGGAAGTGAGAGCTGGACCATAAAGAAGGTTGACCGCCAAAGAATTGGTCCTTTTGAATTGTGGTGCTGGAGGAGACTCTTGAGAGTCCCCTGGACTGCAAGGAGAACAAACCTATCCATTCTGAAGGAAATCAACCCTGAGTGGTTACTAAAAGGACATATCCTGAAGCTGAGGTTCCAATTCTTTGGACATCTCATGAGAAGATAGTGTAGGTGATCTTGGTCTTGGTCTAGGGTGATACTTCAGGATCTTTTCTAGTTCCTTCATTGCTAGACTTCCAAACCTCAGTTTTCTTCTGATGTCCGATGGTCTCCATTTGAATTTATGATAAACCTGAAGCAAACAAAATCTAACAATTTCACTTACTTCATTATCAGCATTAAAATGATTTAATCCTTCTGCATGGATGATTTTTGTCTTCTGAATGTACATTTGTGATCCTCCTTTTGTACTTTTTTCAGGAGCTGAAACTCAAATTATTTGTGTCTAGCAAGTCCCATTCATTTCAGTGTCTACTCTCTTGCTCATGTGTCGCTACCCTGTATCTCTCCCTTGTTGAAATCCACTTCCAGACAGTGTCATTACTACACATTGCAGCCTTTCATTTGCAATCATAGAAAATACTGTACAAAGATGGCTACTGTTCTAACAGCACAGCCTTCTAACCCTGTTCCTGAATTTTCCTCAACATTTCATGCAACACTTTTACACCTTATAATGCTCCAGTTCAGCCTGCACTATTCTTCTTTTTTGAATGAGTTTTTGAAAATGACATACAATTTAACAATGTTAAATGAATTCAAGGTTGCTTGAATCATTTTCTCGTCAACATTACCAAAAATTCTGAGCTTTACTTTTGGTAAGGAGGGAAACAAATTCTGTCCCTTTTATCTGAGCACAGCATGGGAAATGACTCAGCTGTACCCTCAATGCCAGTCCCCTCACAGAAGGCATTTGCCAATAAGATGCTATCCAATCACTTCTGGAAATAAGGTGAAAAGGCCATTTCTTTGCCTCTCCTTCTGTGTATTCATGTATTTTTTAAAGTGTTGTTCTCTCTGCTACTTGGCATTTCGATGAGTTTCTCCTGGGAGTGTAAAATGGGGGATTACAGCAATATAGTTCCAAGAATCCTCAGGCATCTGTGACCCAACCATATACCTGTTGTTTTCCAAGATCACATGACATATTGCAATTGCTATGATCTAGGGCTGATTCAAACCTGTTCAAATGTCTCACATTGTTCTTGGACTGAGCTGGAAGACCACGTGTCTGAAATTCAGCTTCACCTAAAAGGAGCTCTGTATGCGTAAAGATGACATGGCACAGCCTTTTACCCATGACATGCCAGCTTTCCATCTTGTTGTACAAGTGGACAAAGCAGCAGGATGGTGTCACTCTCTTTCCCTTCTTCAGTAGCAAGGGGTGAAGGGAAATAATGCAGGCTTCACAGCATATCAAATCTCACTGCATGTAAGACTCAAAAGTTCCATCTGTTACTCCATTTCACCAGAAGAAATAATGACAAAAAGAGGACATGTCTATTTCTCTCATGTCTATGAATCAGTTCATCATTTCATTCACTCAGCATATGAGGCTCGCCCTCCCAAATGACAGGATCAACCTGGACAGGTACTGTATAGAATTGGTTTTAAAGGAACGTGTTATTTCAGATCAAAAGACAAACCAAGCACAATCCTGTCTGTTTTTCCCACAGATGACTCACCAGAATCCACCAAAATCTGGAGAGCTGTTTTACTTGATTGAATAAATATTTTTCTACCTTGTCTTTTAAGGCAAACCTTTACAGTGCTACTAATGTTGCAGTGCTTGAAAACAAAACAACTGAATAAATATAATGACAGCAATGTCAGAGGAAACATATATAATGTAATCCCGCCAACTGGTTCAAAAAAGCTTGGTGCTATTTAATATGTAGGGGCCACTCAGAAAGCCACACACAAAAGATCCAAATGAAGTTAGACCAGACATTACTTTTAGCCACAGTATAATTTCCAGTTGAGTATAGAAGGGCAGGTCATAGTTACAAATGCTGTTTTGGAATGAAATCTCCCTTTATAGTGCATTACAAACGCACTTCCTCAAAGTAATCTGGGGTCTCTAACCTGCAAGATACTATGCATTATCCTTTCATACAGTATACCTGATACAACTGTAGTCTGGTAATCTATACTCAAAAATGAGAACATAAACCCATTTGGCTTTGTTTCCTTCCAGAAATGTGCATTTGGATTCAGAAATATTTGGGATTCATTGAATAATGCCATTATTCAGACAGGTCTGAATATATCCAAATCAGAATTGATAGTTCTGAATATCTGCAATAATAATTTCTAATACTTAGTCTCATTTACTCTAAGTAACATAACAAAAGTGCAGTCCCTTTTAAAATTAGTCATCTAAATGGATTTCATATATTTTAGAGAAGTGGCATCCTTATGTATCTAAAGTGAATGAAAAACATGTAGGGCTACAGGAACACAAACACATTGTAAAAAGACAATCCAGTAATTTCAAACGCAATTCCAGGACATAAATCATCTAATAAGAGAAACACCAGGTTTTCTGCTAACAAAGTCCTTCCCAAATAAGCTTATTTATCTGATTAAGTCAGATGAGCCCCCAAGATATCTAACATTGAAGATAGCCCCATATGCAAGCTAAAGGTACAAGAGTTCACACATTTGTTTGTAACAAAAATTAAAATTGAAACATCTTTACAGATTGTTGGAAATGGAATGTATTCACAGGCCTTTACCTTTTCAGTAGCTCTTCTTTTCGTTTCTGAATCCATCCAGGTGTTTTCCTTTTCTAACATGTCCATAAAGGCCCAACGAATTCCTTCAGTCAACTCTTCCATCTGCAGCAAACATCATTTCTTGTAAGAAACCAAGACATGTGTAGTGCTTTCAAGCCTACTAGGCAAAGAGGACTAAGTGTTGGATCAAGCTTGTGTGTGCACAGCCAATATAGGTGTCGATGTCTGAGTGTATATTTACATGAGGCTTAACCAGCTCCAGCTTAATGCCACTAATTGTACAAAGCTAGAGTAGAACTGGAGGCTGAGATGATATGGACTAAATCAGGGTACATAATAAAGTGTTCTTATTATCTCTGGTCATCATCTTCATCTCAAATGGTATTTGTTAGGTATTGAGAAACTAGAGGAATATGGTAGCAAAAACTGCTAGTTTGTCTAGGAGGAGGCAGAGTTGAAGCTGGGGGGAGGTCATTTTTTAAAAAAACACACAATTACAAGTCCAATGGGAACTGCACAAAACCACCATTGTAGACTGTATCCTAAAGACTAATTAAAATGTGTAAAGAAAGCTGCTCAATAATATCTGTGTAACAATGGACTAAATGGCAGGTGACTCACCTCCCTGAATGAGTTTTGATATTGACCTAAGTGGAAAAAGAATGCCCTTACTTAATGAGGAAGGAGAGCTGTACCATCTCATTTTTGTGATTCATTACTGTCCTTTAATATCATAGAAGTTGGATACAATATGGTAGTCAGTACATTCACAGCATTAAATATGACCAGTTTTTTCAACAGCTGGGAGTAAACGGCATCCCAGGGAATAAGGTAACTTGAAGAATATTGATGGCAGAGCACTGTTTCAATTAACTTCATGCACTAATGAGGTGAACTCCCTGTACTTGGAGGTTGCCAGTTCATATTCTAGCTCTACAATTGGACCCTGGTGTATATTCTGGTTTTTATGCACCAGCTGTAGCAGTAGGGGTGGGAGGAGAAATCTATTCATACCACCAGAGTTGTTATCAAAATTGTTCAGGCGTAGCCAAGTGAAACGCTGCCTAGACTGTAGGTCAAAAACAGTGCTATATTTAGACACCAAAATAATATCTCTTTGATAACAGAAGAGGGACAAGAAGATATCCAGGACATGAGCTCATCAGTGGCTAAATCTGAAATCACCATACTTCGCATCATTCATTATTTGTTTTGCACGGACTGTCCACTAGGCAAGGCAGTGGGGGCAAATTTTGGCAATGTCTGTGTAGCTGAAACACAAGACTTAATAAGACAGGCAGATGGATGGACAGAGAGACAAAGACAGATAGATGACATGAAAAAGACAAATAGAAGATGCCACTTTTTAAAAAGGTGGGGGGTGTTAACGTGGCATGCAGTTTACAATCCAAAACTTTCCTATGTTTCTTTCAGAGTCTCGATGATTTCATCTAGATTTGTTCTCAAATAAGTGTGCATAAGCTCCAAGTCTATGACTACAATCAGTGCTGGCTTCTCCATTGGGGAAAGCCCCACCAGAAGCTCAGGCTACCCTCAGCCAACTTCTTCATTAGAGGCAAGGGGACTGTTTAAGTGTCTGGGTGTGAATGCTTCTCTCCCTCTCTGTGCGTTTGTCTATGAGAGAGAATCCAGATGTGTGTGTACAGCCCCCTGGCTCCACCTGCCATTTGTGGCTCTGTCTTCTGCCAGTCAAATATGATGGAGACCAGCCACAAGTGACTACAATGTTGTGAACATACTGAATAAACTTGCATAGGATTGAAATCATCTGTTCAAAGGCTTCTGATAACAAGAGCCCCTGCCAGTCCCAAGAGTGAGGAGTACTGAACTACGTAAGTGAAACAATCATCTGACAGAAGGTCATAAATTGTCTCATATGTACACAAACACAAATGGTGCTCAGGCGAATTTGTTATAAACTCACATGAAACCATGGAGAGAGTAGTAATGATAGATATTCTGGAAAAAAATTTATATTGTTTACTCATGTGATTTCCCTTTTTAGCATAACTAAGTGGATGTAAGAATACTCTTTCACTCTCTGGAATTTTACCCTTTCCCTATCCTTACTCATCCCTTCCTTATTCCCCTGTATCCACACCCCAACTCCTACTCCAAATGAAAATAAATAAAAGCTTGGGGTGGGGAAAAACTGATTTTGTAAAAATCTAGTGCCTACATATGACAGAATCACTGAAAAGTTGAACTGGTGAAGGAATCAAGAAGGAAAACAGTTAGCCAGTAATAAACAAACTCTGGTGAAGTGTGTTTAATGAAAGATTCCCCACTGTGCCCCCTTGAGAGGGGCTGGACTTGATGATACATGGGGGTCTCTTCCAGCTCTACAGTTTTAAGATCTGGGATTCACTAAATGTTTGCAGTTACATGTTTTTGCAAGATGGACAAAGCAGTCGATGAAGCCAATCTTCATGAACGGCTGAGGAAGTCCATAGAGTAAAACAATGGAGATAAATGGAAATACAGTTCTTCCAGGAGTTTAAATGTTATCCTTGGCTTTTTGCTTCACTCTTTCAACAGCAATCAGTCTGCTCAGTGGGATGATTAAAAAGAACCAGGTTCCTCATTGGTGTTAAAGGTCAGTGAGCATGAATTTCACATTTTTGTCTTTAGTGTTGTTCAGCGATCTAGCAATTATACATTGTGAACATGAACCGTTAAATGTATTCCTTAGGTCAAAATAAAAGGTAATGATGGAAGACCCACATATAGAACTGGTTCTGCTGTCAAATCATTACAAAATGGTGCAACAAAACTTTTGCCTCACCTGCAATTCTCTCCTTTCTTCCACAAAGGAAAAGAAAAGGAGAGGAAAGGAGAGGAGAGACACCCAGAAGCGTTTAGTCAGTTTAGTCCTAGTGGAGTTCTGAGTTGCCCCATACCATAGTGGATGTGTCAGGGCTTCCTCAGAGATTTTTTGAGAAGGTGTTCAGTAACTCCCCACAAAAGCCTAGTACCAGACTGAGGAATCAAACAAGTAAGAAACTGGAAGTAGGTGGTGACTGCATAGTGAAGAAAAGAAAAGAGTATCCATTTGCTGGTAAAAGAAGCTTTGACCTGAAAAACATAAACACATCTTTGCCTCTCTTCTCTCTTCACCACAAAGCTACACTACTTCCTACTTACAGGCTACAGGTGGAAGACTATAGAAGGGATGTGACTACAAACTGGTTGCCACACTACTAGTAGCTACACTACTTCCTACTTCCAGGCTATAGAAGGGATGTGACTACAAACTGGTTGAAAAAGATGTAAAAGTGAGCTCAAGGACAGACCAATGACACAGTGGGAAGTGTGGGGAAAGTGATCCCGCATGCCACCTTCTTGAAAACAAGGGTGATCTTTAGCATTAGGTTGTGCCTGAAGTAAAGAGGATACTGGCTTGAGACTTTATGTAATCTTTGTAGGGATAAAAGCAGTCTTTTTTTAAAAAAAAATGGGGAAAATTGCCTATGGAAAGTTCCATTTTCTGCTTCTGCCCATTTAAAACTGTGATTGTTCACATTTTCTGGAAATTGTTTTTTGATCCACTTTATGAGGAAACATTCTCTTTAACAGGGAATGATCCCAAAGTATTCTGGAGCAGCCTGGTACTGAATGGGCATTTGAGACCCATTAGTTTTACAAAAGATCTGCTCCTAGTGGAGAATAATATTGCTAGCACTGTGGGTTTTGTTTTGTTTTTTATAAGGATTGACATAACTGTCTGCATTTTAACACTCTTCTTGAGAGTGTATCCACAGAAACTGTCCTGACCAATACCTGCATTTCGAAATTTAGTGCTATACCATTGTTTGTGGACAACGTCACACATCTGCTATGACTGTGGAAGAAGCAAACAAATTTCAAATAGTATAACATGTGATAACGTACCATTTCCCTCTTGTCTTCTTGGAAGTGCACATCTACGAACATTCTGCCAGTGGCATAGGGGAGAGCACTTTCCACAGTGTTGACACATTTGTCCCATTGAGGCATTAAGGAGGTTGTCCCTTGGGTCACCTGGTTTGATTTTGAAACTGATAAATCATGTGTTTCCTTAGAAAATTCTGCAACCTATCTTCATCATCCCTGTTTTGTCCAAAAAACCCTTGCTGTTGTGCAAATAACTGCCAAATAACTACCACTGATGTCAATACTTAGCTACAGCAATTCTAAAATAAATTCTGAACAGTATTTCTGACACTAAGAACAACTATTAACTGGCTGCGACTAAGTCATGTTAGGTGGGACTAATTTGCTTTTCATGGGACACCCATTCATTTGTGCTGTTATATTTTGTGTAAGGGGGGCCTTAAGCCCGCTGATTGTTTTGGACTACAGTTCCCAAAATCCTTTACCACTAAGAATTCTGGATGGGACCACTGGGAGTTGTAGGCCAAAACATCTGGAAGATTAAATGCTCCCCCATCCTTATTTTAATAGCATCTGATATATGAACATGGACCACATGAACTCTCAAGTTACTAGTCACATTTTGACACAGAAATTGATATCCTTAAAAACAGTAACTAAATATGTCTAGAGAAAACATACAAAGGAAAATGTTTCATGCTTATTGCCTACTTGAGGGTGGGGTACCACAGATAAGATGATATCAATAGCTGGGAGATTCTTGGACACATAATCAGCACAAGTATCTTTTCCAGACTTACATTAAAATATAATAGTCTTTACGGCACCACATGTTTTTGTCTTATTTGTGTTTTTGGATTTTTCTTGTTATGCAAACTACCAGAGAGTGAAAAATTATCAATGAGTAAAAATCATAACTTTCACAGACACAAGATACAGAAACAGGAGAAACAGATACTTGGAGGCAGAAAAAAACCAACATTTCTAATTTCCTTCATATAAAGAAGTGACATTAATATTCAAACCTATGCTTGGATTCAAGTCCTTGTGACCCAAGAGAGGTTAGGAGATTATGTTCTCTGACTCGTATAAAAGCTTCTAATTCACATTTCCTAATTGAAATTGCAGTCAATTCAAGGAAATTGACGGTCGCCTGCTGCCAATGGTTTTATGGGCACTTGTGACAGACACATTGATATAAAAACTCGCACTTACCCTTGAATATTCCAGCCACCTATATTGAAAACGTCGGCTGAGACTGAACAGTCTTGAATAAACCATTCTCCACACAAGATAGTTGGCAATAGTCCTATCAATGCAGACATATTTTTATGACAATTAAGCCCATGTCTACTAATAGACAACTGGCTGATATTAGGAATCAATGCATGAATGGATTTTTTTTCCAAGCCAGTGCACTACCTGCCAGAGTAGCAGCTTCAACCTCAGAAATAATGCACAATGATTGAACTAACAAGCATCTATCAAATGGAAGAGAACGCACAATGGCTACTATTTGGTCTGTCATGGAATGATGGGGTTTGAGCCACACTTCAACCATTTTGTCTCCTGGAATGGAATTTGCTATTTGATGCTTTTCAGAATGCAAGTTGAAATAAAATGGTTGTATCTACAATCTGTGCATGTGAGTTTCATGGCTCGGGTGGGTTTTCAGCTGGGATCTCCAAATCCTACAACGACACTCTAACCTCTGTGACACAGTACCTCCTTGTGTACCACGCAATGCTCCTTGTCACCCTTAACTAGATGACTACATAATTTTAGTTATATGTCATGAAGTCAAACCTAATTTACAGCAACCCTAACAGGGCTTTCAAGAGAAATGAGATACTTAAGGAGTGGTTTTTACCAGTTCAATGCCCCCACTGAATTTCCATAATCAAGAGAGAATTTTAGCCCTGGTCTCCAACATTGTAGTCCATCACTCTGTCCATTATACCACACTGAGTACCCGACTACATCATTAGTGATGGCTTTAACTGCATATCCAGTAATCCAGTCAACTTCTATAAATTTATTGGGAAAGGGCACTGATATTCTTTCACTTCAGGCAGCAAGGTAAGGCCGCACCTGGAGTATTGCAAACAGTTCTGGTTGCCGCACCTCAAAAAAGACATAGTAGAACTGGAAAAGATGTAGAAGACAGCAACTAAAATGATGACTGGGCTCGGGCACCTCCCTTATGAGGAAAAGCTACAGCATTTGGGGCTCTTTAGTCTAGAGAAAAGGCACCTGAGGGGGGACATGATTGAGACATATAAAATTATGCAGGGGGTGGAATAAAGTGGAGAGAGGGAAGCTCTTCTCCCTCTCACGCAATACTAGAACCAGGGGACATCCCTCAGATTGAATGTTGGGAGAGTGAGAACAGACAAAATAAAATATTTCTTTATCCAGCATGTTGTTAGTCTGTGGAACTCCTTGCCACAGGATATGGTGATGGCATCTGGCCTAGATGCCTTTAAAAGGGGATTGGATAGATTTCTGGAGGAAAAGGAGACCGCAGGTGGATGGGGATGGATAATCTCCAGGCTTAAAACCGCAGGTGGATGGGAATGTATAATCTCCAGGCTTAAAAGGAAGGTACCTCAAAATGCCAGATGCAGGGGAGGGGTATCAGGAGACAATCATCTAGTTATCTCATATGCTCCCAGAGGATCCGGTGGGGCCACTGTGAGATACAGGAAGCTGGACTAGATGGGCCCTTGGCCTGATCCAGCAGGGCTCTTCTTATGTTCTTATGTAAAATGCCTGGGATTGACCAGCTCTACTCAATTTTAGGCATCTCCTTGCCTCCCCACCTCCACACACTCGCACACTCAAACATCAGCTCATTCCAATCAGTTTCTTAACCCTCTGTGCAACAGTTTCAGGGGGCAGGGCAGGGTGCTTCTGCTAGCTTTATGGCATGCACCTACACCTCAATCTAATCCATTGTCTAATAAATCCATAGGTTTATTGTAATTATTGTCCTAGAATCATAGAATTATAGAGTTGGTGAGGACATGGGGAGTCATAGCCTCCACTAATGCAATACAAAGAACACCCACAGTTTTATTACATGTAATGTAATGATGTCTGATCATTATTTCCAATAGTCTAAATGTGAAATATGAAACATCTACAATATGAAAAGGATCTCCAATGTTCAGGGAAGTTAACTTTTTACACTACAACCCTTCTGTTTGCATGGGCGATGCAATGCAAAAGCTAACTTTCCCAGTCATTGCTTGATTAACTTACTAGTAACTTGTACCTGCAATAAGGACAGCAAAATGTCAAAATGTGCCTGCGTGAAAAATGGGCTCATATTTGTCGATATGCAAAAACTCCAAACTACATAAATCAGACAAGTAAGTTTAGAAGGCCATTAATATCTCTCTAACAGAGAACGGGACAATTATTGTATCAACTAATTTGAAGATGATCATGTAAGGCCAGATGCATCCAGGTCAAAGTAAACAAATATATCTTTCAACAACAGAAATTTAGAGGGGGTTTTGTGTGTGAAATTTCTATCAATGCTTTTAATTTGTGCTTTCAGAGCTATTGGTTAAGAAAATTAGAATAAGCTTGTTAGAGTATATGTGCAATATCTCTTCATTAATATTAGATCTGGAAGACAATATCTAAGAATAATACAGAAGACTGATTTCTGTATCTCTTGTTTACAGCACAGATAAAATGTGCCTTTAATAAGTTAAGCTCCTCTTCTGTTGCAGAAACAAATGAGTGCATCTAGCTAACTTTTGGCAAAATTTCTCCTCCATGATTTTATAAATATTTATTAATAAAAATTTCATGCACAGAAGTCTTGGCAAAATAGCTGTGGGACCACAGGGGGAAGAGAAGGAAAGATTAACCCTTTCCCCTCCTGCGATCCTGAAAAGAACTATTTCCTTGAAGCTGCCATTTGAAATAGAAAGGAAGCATCTACTGTCATCTAATAAGCCTTTTTTTTATTTGTTGACTTATACAAACCAATGAATCTCAGGGCTTATCTAGATACAACATTTATTCCTGTAAAAACACTATGTTTTGCACTTATAGTTTTGGTATGTTTCCATCATCCATATGATGCAATGCTTGGTCCAATTTATTTTTAATAAAATTTAGGGCTGCAGTGTTAATTGATTAATCTTACTGATCAATCAAAATGTGTGAGTCAGTCAAAACAAGTCCCCTGATTAACTGACAGTTCATATAACATCTGAACTGGCTAGGCCCCAGAAATGTTCAGAAAATAGTGTTTTATAAGGGTTTTGGAAATCACAGCAAATTGGATTTGTAATTTCAAGGAGAGAGAGAGAGAGCTGTGAGGAAATTATAGTACAATTTTAAAAAATATAACCTGTTTCCTGAAAATAAGACCTAACCTGAAAATAAGCCCTAGTATGATTTTTCAGGATGCTCCTAATATAAGCCCTACCCCCCCAAATAAGCCCCACTTAAGTTAAACCCCACTCTCCACCATTGTGCAGCATTGTATGGCAACCTGAAGAAGATGACATTACTGTAAAATAAAACATCCCCTGAAAATAAGCCCTAACGCATTTTTGGGGCAAAAATTAATATAAGACCCTGTCTTATTTTCGGGAAAATGGGGTATTAGAAAGTGTACATTCAATCATAAGATTATATTCAGTATATATTCAGTCATAAGATTATCATTATAAAGCCTTTCTCAATGTACACATCCCAGGGCTTGGAAAAGTTACTTTGGGAGCTACAGTAGCTGGAACTGCCCACCCAAAATGACCAATGACCACGCTGGCTGGTGGATTCTGGGAGCTATAATAACTTTTCTAAGGTCTGTCACATCTCTTTCCAAAAATAAGGAAATATTCATTTCCTGGGATCCCTAGCAATAACTACCCTTGTTCTCACTATTCCTACAACTTTCTTTGCATAAGAACCAATGAACAGAAGTAATTTTAAGGGCCTTGCTATAGCTTGAAACCTGCTGTGTAAATTTCTGTGTTAATATTAAATTGCTGGGTAGGCAAAGAGCTGAAAATTGTACTCAAAATCCAGGAATTAAATTTTTACTTAGAAAAATACAAAGCAAACTAGAAATCCTTACTTTTTCCTTTCACTTTCCAAGATCCTGAACAAATCTCTGAAGTACTGGGGTACACGAACAATCACATTCTCTGAAGCATCTATATCCTTCAGTTCAGGATAGAGTTTGGTGTCAATCACCTTCTTGATATACGCCAGCCAGTCAAACTGAAAGAGACATCAAGGCTCAACTCCTCTCTCTTACAGGGTCATGGAATTAATTACGTACCATTATCTCAATGGCTTAAAAGGTTTTTTTTTACCTAATTTCAAAGTGAAAGTTTGCTGCACAACACCCCTAATATTTGGAGGCTTCAATAAAAACGCAGCTGTATTTAAAATAATAATAAAGAACACATGCTTCTATTAATTTAATTCAGATTGCCTTCTTATGCACATTTGAAGCACCACTCAGTACGAACGGGTACTTATGCAGTCTTATCAGGCATCAATGCAGCCATTTTTCAATTAGCTTCAACCAACCTGTGGGACCATGACACTAAGTTCTGAAATGTTCATTTTGTTGTACATAGATTCACTGGTTCGATTCTCATGTGGGATCATTATCTGCAAAAATTAAAAGCAAATAAATATTATTTCCCCTGAAAAATCTATTCCTTGTCAACAACCATAAATCTGTTAACCCCTCTTTGTCAGAGGCAACAATCCATACATGGCAATAGGTTATCTGTTCTGGAAAGCTGGACACCTCTAGTCCCCGAAGTAAGTCTCTGGTGTAGTGGAAGGTGATTCTGCTGGTGTTGGATACTGCAGTAGATCACTGGATAGCAAAATGTACCACTAGCTCTTGGGTAATGTATGTTTGCTATGGGCTACTGCTCCAACTAAACCAGCCATCATTGATGCTGGCAGCAATACTGAATAAAACTGCACACACGATATGTCTTTTGGATGGACCATCAAAATTCACAACATTAGTGAACCTGGTTGCCTGTTGCCTGTTGTACAAGGCATAAAGAGAAGGATGGGCTGGCTCGTGTTTTTAGTACAGTGGAACCTCTACTTAAGAACTTAATCCGTTTTGGAATGGTGTTCTTAAGTTGAAATGTTCTTTCAATTAATCCAATTAAACCAATTAATCCGTTCTGGCTGTTTTTTTGTTATGTAGAGGTCCGTTCGTACATTAACCAAAGCTGGTTAATACGTACTCTACCACTATGGGGAGAATTTTTTTGTAACCTAAGATGACCTAAGGTTAAAAAAAGAGCAGGAAAGGTTTTTTTTTCCTGTTCTTATCTTGGATTTCTGTTCTCAAGTAGAAGCAAAATTTAGCAAATGGAGCTGTTCTTAAGTTGGATTGTTCTTAAGTAGGGACGTTCTTAAGTAGAGACCCCACTGTAGAAATGTGAAGGAGCTCCACAACTATTCTCCTCACCCTGTAGGAGGGTGAGGCATTATGCTCCATTTTGAACAATAGACAAGAATGTGGTTGTTGTGCTAAGTTGTGCAAAAGGATTTTTTTTAACACAGCTAACATTTCAATGCAAACAAAACAACTAACATAAAAGGGCAATAGCTGCTGTTTTACCATATGGGCTTAGAAGGCTGAGAAGTACCTGAAGATGTGTTTGTGCCCCTTTTAATGATCATCCACTATTCTGTTCTTGCTCTGTGTGTGGGGTGTGTGTGTGCGTGCGTGCGTGCGTATGATTAGAACAGAGTCCTAAAGCACCAAGACTGGAGAACGAAGAAGTGGCGCATTGCATCCAGTAAAACAGCCAAGGGTTATTGTTGGAATTATAAACTGCTCTTATTCTGGCTGGAGATAAAGGGGATTAAGAAGAAGCACTGTCTTCTCCTTTTTATTCCATGATTGATGGGAAGGAGCAACAGAAACAGAAGTGGCAATGCAGAGCAGTTAAGCCCACTTAGAACACACACACACACACACACGTTTTCTTCTGAAACTTTGGAAAGAAGCAGTGCTGAATGAAGGCATAAAGCCATGCCTATCACTCCAGAAGTGCCAGCTGCCACAAAAGCTGATGACATCCCACATTTAGAAAGGCACTAACCTCAGCTATTTTGACTTCCAGCTTGAGCACAGACTTCATATCCAACTCTGCACGCGACGCGTTGGCACCCAGAAGCACTGCGGTGTCAACCATGAACTGGAACAGAGCATCTCTGTACTGCAGCAGAATGAGAATGTGTTATTGTTACATCTACCCAGACCCAAATGCCCTAAGTAAATTAGAGTTGGGATATCTACAGCATACAAATAGCACATTGTTGTATTATTTTCCCATTCAGTTTCAGTAGTACATTTGTCATACTATGGTGCTCCATGTTAGTTATCCCTAGGAACCATCTTTATTACCAACAATGGTTAGAATGCCCATTTTGCTTACAAGCAGGCGCAGAGAAAGTGGATTAAACAGACTTCTGCTCAAACCAATCAATCATTACAGAAGGTTCAAACAGCAAGAGATCTCTGGTCTTCAATCCAACTAAGTTTAGTTATGACTAAAATCAGGATGGGACATGATGGGAGCAGCCTTTTCCATCTATCTGTATTTCTAGAGATAGGAAATGTTGGGCATGGTTAGGACTACACCTCCCAGAATCTTCTAGCTACCATGTCTATTTTTAAACCATAGTTTACATTAAATGGACAAGATTGGATTGCAGGGAGTGGTCCAGAACTGATTATGAACAGTTGGGCTGGGAACAGAAGATCAATAGTGGGAAAGGCATCATTGCATAGATGATGCGATGATGCATATGCAATGCATCATTGGTTGGTTTGGAAGATTCATGCTTCTGATCAAGAAATTAACAATACTGTTAAACAAGCACTTACAAAGAAATTGTGTAGAAATTGCTTTTTTACTTAGGATATAGTTTACTTAGCCTGTGACAAAGTAATGCTCAAACAATACTGTTAAACAAGCACGTAGAAAGAAATTGTGTAGAAACTGGTTTTTTACTTAGGATATAATTTACTTAGCCTGTGACAAAGTAATGCTCACAGATTTAGCTTCTGTGCTGTTGTCCAGGTAGTCTTCTCTTGCTGATAGAGACAGAGATGCTTGATCTAGCTGTTAAAAGTATATAAAAATGCAACAGCCAGAGTTAATATCAATTACAAATTCATACCAGCACTTGAGCTGCAATCTTATACCTACCTTCCTCAGAGACAGCCCCACTGAAGTCAGTGGAACTAACCTCTGGATAGACATGTATAGAATTGTGCTTCCAGTATAGTATTAAAAGATTAGAAAAAGGCATATTAAAAATTTTTAAAGTATTTATAACCATTAAATGACTACAGCCTTATAAAAAGTACCATTTTATAATGGTTTAGTTTTATATTTAAATACTCTGTTTTGCCTTCTTGAAAAAACCAACTTTTATAAAATACTCAGGAATTTAGGGATTCTACCATATTCCCACCCGTAAGACATAAATGAGATGCATTACATATGATCTGGGAATTTGTCTGATCCTTCAGTAACTAAGCAGAATACTAATATCTACTTTCTGTAAATAAAGTTGGTGTAAATCAAATTAGAGAAGAGTTTTGAATACCTGAAGGAATAGAAGTACATACATTGCCCTGACTTTCAGTCATTTGCATTTGTACATACTAATAATAGTGATGTTGTTGAACATAGTGGCAAAAGGCTGACAGTTCTTGTCAACAAAATTAGTTGAAAGGTGGATAATTATGACTTTGGTACAGTTTTTTACTTCTTCATCTGAGTGGTGAAGGAAGGAATTATTTGTTTCCACTACATGCAATGATTTCATTTGATGTTGAATTAAATCCTCACTAGACGCTTTAGCCTTCCTAGTATTACCATCACAAACAGTTATCAGGGTGCTGATTGTGATACTGTTCACTCCTTGGTGTGTAGCAGAGTCAAACTGTGAATAAAGAGATTGTATCACATGAAAAAAGAAGTAAGATCACATATTGACATCAGCAAGACTCGGGATCAGAGAAAAGTGGAGGAATTTGCCCAAGCGCTTGAGGAAAGCCTTCCAGGCCTGACTGATGCAAACGCACCTGAACGATGGGAACATTTCAAGAATGCTGTTTATAACACCAACTTGTCCACATTTGGCAAGAAAACAAAAAAGACGGTAGACTGGTTTGAAGTCCATTCAGAGGAGTTGACGCCAGCCATCGAGGAAAAGAGGAGAGCTCTAGCAGCATACAAAGTCTGTCCTAGTGAGTACAACTTACAGGCTCTTCGAGCTGCTCATAGCCAAGTCCAACAGACTGCCAGGAGATGTTCCAACAATTATTGGCTTCAGTTCTGCTCTCAGATACAGATAGCAGCGGACACAGGTAACATCAAGGGAATGTATGACAGTATCAAGCAGGCTTTAGTTCCAATACA